AACCCTGAGCCGGTGAGATTTGAACCGCTGACCTGCTGATCTAGCAGTAGCCTGCAGTGCTGCTTTTAACCACTGCGCCACCTTGGCTCTTCACCACATACCTAATGCTTTATTTTCTCCTTTGGTTTCAACGCTGCAATGCTAGGTTTGTACTGGCGGCTAAATCGTTGTTTAATTCTTCATGAGATTAAAAGTGGCTTTTAATCTTTTGGAACATCTGCAGTTCAACAGTTGGTTTTAATGGCTTTAACTGAATCCAAAAAGTAATACAGATTAATTATTTCTGTGGATGAGGCTCCGGAATGCTTAGCAATTGCCTCCCTGGCTAGGGAATTCTGGGAATTCAGGTTCATCTATCTGGAAGGATTCCAGGTTGGAGAAGTCGGATTTAAGGAATAAGGGAATAATGGTGTTGATGATTGAGTATGTGTGCATGTGTGCTCAAGTGCCACAATTAGATTTGCAGAGGTTTAGTTTGTGTTCTCATAGAATTGCGTAGTATTTCTTTGCAGAGGAATATTTTATTTCTGTAGAATTAATTTTGGAGAACTTGGGTTTTGTTTTAAAAAAAACCCAGACATTGGAAGTATTATTCTAAACTTGAATAGCATGTCTTACATCAGCTCATTTAGAATGTATGGTTACTAGAAAGAAATTCATTGGACTACGTAAGATATTTGCACATTGTAGTAATGTGTTATAACATATTTAATCTTTATCGTTTGTTGAGGTTTTCCTTGTGAGAAAAATCATTGGTCCTGATGCTGGACATCTTTATGCCATGAAAGTTCTAAAGAAGGCTTCCTTGAAAGGTATGCTTGTTTTAAAATAAAGTTAAAAAAATACTTCCTGCTGTGTTTATTTTTATTTGTGAAATAAAATAACCATTTATAACTTAATAATCAACTTTTATCTTTAAAAGTGCAGATAAACTGCATTGAAGATTGTGGTATTTGAACAGAAATTTCCATAGGAATGAATGTGAAATCATATTCAGTATTGTGNTAAAAGTACAATTTCTAATCTACTGCTTCAGGAAAGTTCTTTCTATATATGGTCAAATCCTGGACGTCAATGGTAGGGCACATCTCAGAATGTTATGTTATTCACTATCAGGATGTTATGGCGTTCTAGGAGTTTGTTTTCTCCTGTGTGATTCAGCGTGACTCTGCAGGCCCTAGTATGAACTAGGCCATGGAGGACACACACCTGCAGAAGGAACTATATTACAACATCTCCTACTTTTCTATATTACAACATTACATTATTGTAATCCTATATTAGTAATACAGTAAAATAACAGAATATAACAAGAAGGATTTACTGCATCATTGAAACAGTTGGGATTTGCAAACATAAAAACAAAAATCTTGGGATTTTAATTAATAGTAAAACAATATTCCATATATTCATGCCATTACATTTTTCTGCTCAATTATATTGGACAGAAATTGTACTGTCCATCACTGCTTAAGTCCAGTCACAGTGGTAGGTATGGAGCGGAAGAACATAGATGAATTCTTCAACCTAGAACTGAAAACGAAAACTTTTCATCTGACTCATTTGCTTTCTTTAAACAATTCTGTGAATTTGTTTCGATCTTTTAAGTAGAATCGAGGAAGAAGGAAGTAAATAAATATTGTGAAATCCAGTTGATTACTTCAGTTGGATCTTGGTAACATTGGTGAATCTTCTCAGCTGTGCCACAGTTGTTCCAGATTTTAACATCTAATTAAAGCACTCTTGTGGAAAAGCTAAACGAATCCAGGTGTTAGGAGATCAAATGAATAGGTGAAGATAGGTCCCACAGAAAGGAAGAGAAGGGCACACAAGTTGGCATCATATAGCATAGCGACAATTTTCATACCATCCTTCCCCCAAAATAAGACTGGGTCTTATATTAATTTTTGCTCCAAATGATGCAGTAGGGTTTATTTTCTGGTTAGGTTTTATTTTTGGGGAACTACAGTACTAATTGCGTTCATCTGGCTGATGATCTTAACTGGGGCTTATTTGGGGGGTAGGAATATATATTACGAGCATCCTGAAAAAATCATGCCTGGGCTTATTTTCCAGTTGGGTCTTATTTTCAGGGAAACAGGGTACTTGCATATGATATTACAATTTTACAGGAAACAGTAACAGAGTTAGAAGGGACTTTGGAGGTCATCTAGTCCAACTGCCTGCTCATGCAGGAGACCTGTACTAGGGATTTGAATGGCCGACCTTTCTGATTGACAAGCTCATTGTCTTAGCTACTGAGCCAGTCAGGCAAATGTTTGACGCCACCATAACGTGCATGTTGACATTTCACTGCTATTGTGAACATCTACATGTTCACTTTCTTCTTGTTTCTGCAGTCCAATCTCCTAACTGCGAGACTGGGCTTTAGAAAGAAGAAGAAAGTGAAAATGTAAGGGGTTTTTTTTGGGGGGGGGAGAGACTGGCCTTTAGAAAGAAGAAAGTGAAAATGTAAGGGTTTTTTTTTTGGGGGGGGGAGGATGTTAGGCCAGAACTGACGAACCTGGAAACTGATGGAGCATTATGCAGTTGTGCAACACATGTTTTCTTTCTCCTGTTCTGCTGCGTGTGGAGCTGCTGCCCACACTCAACAGCTGTTGAAATTCCAAATTCTGTTCAAAATCCTTTTTTTCCTTCTTCTTCTCTTTCTCTCTCTCTATTATGTGGCTACCGCTCAGTATTTAGAATTCACTGGAAGTACTGTAGCATTTCAGATCCTTCAGTGGTGTGAGGTCTACGATGACTCAGCCAGCAAATGTTCCGATTATGGTAATAAGCGAGTATAACATCATTTCCACTGACAGTGGCATTCAAGAGTGTTGTTTTCTTAAGTTCTTATTTAATTACTACTGTGTCAGTTTCCACAGAAACCCGTTCTACTGTCAAATCCGGGTTACCCAGATCACTTTGAAACATAGAAACAGATGAACTGCTAAGATCGGTTCATTTAAATGATTTAAAAAAAAAAAAAAACCAGTGAAAAACCATCATCATTAGATATTGGATATTGACACTTCAACTTGGACTGATGGATGCCATTTCTTCTTTCTTTCTTTCTTTCTTTCTTTCTTTCTTTCTTTCTTTCTTTCTTTCTTTCTTTCTTTCTTTNACACACACACACACACACACACACACACACACCATATATATTGTGAGTGTACACAACATACTCACAATACACACACACATACACACACACATACACATACACACACACACGTCTTTCTTCTGGGTCCCAAAATAAGCACTAGGGCTTATTTTCAGGGGGTGTCTTATTGTTTTTCTGTGTTAAAGAGGCCCACTTCTTCTGCTTGCTCAAGGCAGGGCAGGAAGCCGCGCAGCATGCCACCGCCATGAGGTGAGGGGATGGAGCTTCCGCACACGCCCCGCTCTGGCTTACCTCAGGGCCCGTGCAGCCAGGCCATCCACACTCCGATTCCTGCCTTGCCTTGCAGCCACGCCATTAGCACACCGCTCAGCCTCTTCCTCCATTGTGACCATGGGCAAGCAAAAGTGAGCCGGCGAGGCAGGTGTTGCGACGTGGATGGTCTGGATGTGGGGGGCCTGAGGTATGGGGCACATGGGTCAGCTCCACCACCATCCCACCTCACCTGGTGGCTGTGGCACCACAAGCAACCAGAGGGAATGGGTGGCCAGCTGGCTTTGCAAGCTCTTGAGTAGGGCTTATTTTGGGGTGCGGTGGGGATAGGGATGTAACATGTAAAACATTATTTTGGGGGGATAGGTCTTACTTTCAGGGATATAGAATATTTATTTCAAAAGCTGGGGAAAAAAGAGGGAAGAATCCAAAAGAGATGTGGAAATTCTCCACGGATTCTAATGCTTATCCTGGAAGAAACGCTCCCACTCATTCCCAACAAATTACACTGTCCATAACTTGAGCACTATCATCTTAACCATATATTAGTAGGTCTCATCAGTAAATGCGTTGGCTGCTAATTAAAGAGAAGCTGTTGGCCAAGGAACTTTATTTGTTCTATGTTTTGTGTTATTCCAGGAATTGCTACTCATAGTAAGGCTTCCATGCAAATTAGAACTGAAAAGACCTTTAATCTAGGAGTTAGATAACATTTTTTTTTCTTATTAGACAAGATTCTTTTACAATATTAGCCACAGAAGGGCACAATGGGAGCTGGAAAATATAATATCTTTTTCATGCGGTAATATCTATTTCAAGTCAGGGTAGCTCATTTCCTACAAATTAAAGAATGTGTTGTATACTCGTTGTTAAGGTTCTAGTTGGTTTGGGGAATATTTAAACATGTTGAAATGACAACCTCAGTAATCAATAGTCAATATTAAAGCTAGATTTAGATAAAGCTGAAGGCTACAAATATTTATAATGTTAATTAACACTTAATGCTAATTAGTGACATTCACTGGTTTGGATGAAATCAATCAAATAAATTTTCTGGAGATAGTATCATAAGTTTAAAATACTGTTTGCTGGTATTATTACATTGTAAAGTAACCATCCTCTGCTACCAAATGTGATGTTCCTGTGGGTCGTCCATGAGGCCAATGTTGAGAAAAGACAGGAGACAACCTT